TTTTTTAAACCGTGCTTGAAGCTCAGTAACAGCCGGCTGTATTGAACACAAGCAAGAAAGACCTAGGCCTACATTTCTCAGTCAACACATTAGGCATTAGTTGACGTAGGCCGACTTAAAGAAACCTTTTTTTTTAACAATTATACATTCGTCGAATCTCCATGAAATACATATCACATCAATTCAATATAATCTCTCTGATAAATTCCGTCTCTGAGCCCGCTCAGAGAACCTCCTTAGCAAGTAACCTTAAAAATCTTAAAGTAAATATTCCTGTGCCGGCAGGTGGAATGAATGCTCTTTCGGACTTATTCTCCTAACAGTGGGCCGCGGAAACGTTCTAGTGTAATTTGGTTATGATAAGAATTTTATCGCGGTACTGAATTTTGGTACATCCTTATCGTTAATACCAGAAGTGGATAGACTAAAAGATAATAATAAAAGAACCAACGTAAGGACAATATCCCTTAACCATTATATCGGTGTCTACAGAGCTTCTATGCCCTGGTTGTAAGCTGTATCTTTACTCCCTGCCCATTTTCGTGCTGTGACGATTACTATTCCGACGAGACCTACTAGAACTCCGAATAACAAGATGGCCGAAGTAGCAGATAAGGACAGTATTGAGTAGTTTTTAGAAGAGTAAACCTGCTCCCCTCTTTGAGGTGTTTCACTACCCACAGCGGACCTTCTGTGTCGTCTCAATGGCATTTCACTGTCGTATTCTACTGGCACATCCTCAATCACCGCCTGAGCATCACGGAGCGGTAGAACTAGGCGACCGTTATTTGGCATCTCCACCAGAAGATTCTCACCCTCCGTGTCCACAACTATATGTCCTGATTTGGCTTGGGGTGCTTCAACTAGCTGCTGCACGCCCACGCTCACCATCATCGACTTGCTCTCATCCACCTCACGACGCCCTCTCACACGATTACGAGGACGCGGGGCTGGCTGGTACAACCCTGGAGCAAATGAGATAGTTTTCGTTATTATGGAGAAATGTAAATTGTGATGGCAGGATTAACTAACTAAATGGCGTGGCTTCAATCACGTGCCCATACCCTGTGATTTTAGTTTATAAATCTTGTTTACATCCGTGGCATTAGGCTTATGTTATTGTAATGAAATTATGTTGAGTAGTGATAATGGTATTTAAAGAAAAAAAAAAAATCAAATTTTATGAAATGGGATAGACAAGAGGCCAGGACTTTGGTGATTGATTACTTAGTTGATGTGCAAATGTACATGTAAGAGGTGTTGTAAACTATTACAGCTGTTAATACATAAGCAAAGTTGATAAAGAAAACTTACAGTGCTCATGGGTTAATTGATACTAAAATTATACTAGTCACAGATTCATTACATTGCAGGTAATAGTTTTCCTATACTTCTTTAAACTGACTGACTTACAACTGTGAGACACTTCATCAGAATGCAAGGAACTGTACCAAAGGAGAAACATTTACTTACATGAATGGAAAGCATGATATTTGGGATCCTTGTCGCCATGGAAATCTTGGTCATGACTGGGCTTCTTTGTTGTAAATGTAAATTGGTTTGAACCATCTCCTACTTGGGTCGTTGGTCCCGAGCGAGAGTAGGGAGAGGCTTGAGAGTAGGGCGAGTGGTAGGCTGAGGGCATCTTGGATCTCTGGAGCCTGGTGTACATCTGAAAGGACGAGGTGTCGTAGGGCACCTTGGATCATTTGTACCAGGGACACATATTGGCTCAGATGGAATAACACACTCTGGATCAGTTGACCCAGGTGGGCAAGTAACACTTGGTTGACGACATCGAGGATCTTTGGAACCTGGTGTACAGAAGAAAGTAGTGGTAGGTTGTGGAGTTGTTTCGCTTCTGCATCTTGGGTCAGGAGAACCAGGATAACAATTGGGTCTTGAAGTTGTTGGTTGAGGACATCTTGGGTCTCTAGAACCTGGCAAGCACTTGAACTGAGTAGTTGGCTTAGGTGTAGGTCTTGGAGTTGTCTGTCGACACTGTGGATCTGTTGAACCAGGGTAGCATCTGGGTCTAGATGTAGTTGGTTGAGGGCATCGAGGATCTCTTGAACCTGGTACACAACGGAAAGGAGTGGTGGGTTGAGTTGTTGGTTTTGGCGTAGGACGTGGAGTTGTTCTGGGACACTGAGGATCTGTTGAACCAGGAAGACATCTGGGTTTGGATGTAGTTGGCTGAGGACATCTTGGATCCCTAGAACCTGGTACACAACGGAAAGGAGTGGTGGGTTGAGTTGGTCTTGGCGTAGGACGTGGAGTTGTTCTGGGACACTGAGGATCTGTTGAACCAGGATAACATCTGGGTCTAGATGTAGTTGGTTGAGGACATCTCGGATCCCTAGAACCTGGACGGCAAGTAAATTGCGTAGTTGGAGTAGTAATAGGCCGTGGGGTTGTGGGTTGAGGGCAGCGAGGATCTCTGGATCCTGGGACACAGAAGAACTGAGTGAAACCTGGGTTTGGAGTAGTAGGTTGCTGGCATCTTGGGTCCTTTGAACCTATTCTACAAGTAAACTGAGTAGTTGGCCTAGTAGAAGGGCGTGGAGTTGTTGCCTTTGGACACCTAGGATCCCGAGCACCAGGATAACAGTTAGGAGGAGCTGTTGTTGGTTTTGGTGTAGGGCGAGTTGTAGGTTGTGGACATCTTGGATCCCGAGCACCAGGATAACAGTTAGGAGGAGCTGTTGTTGGTTTTGGTGTGGGACGGGGTGTTGTTGGCTGTGGGCATCCTGGATTTCTTGATCCTGGGAAACATACTGGACGTGATGTTGTGGGTTCACGGCATCGAGGATCTTTGGAACCTGGTGTACAGAAGAAAGTAGTGGTGGGTCTAGATGTAGTTACTGGTAGACATCTTGGATCAGATGATCCAGGAAGGCAGGTGAATTGTGTAGTAGGCTGTGTAGGACGTGGAGTTGTTGGTCTGGGACACTGAGGATCTGTTGAACCAGGATAACATCTGGGTTTGGATGTAGTTGGCTGAGGACATCTTGGGTCCCTAGAACCTGGCAAGCACTTGAACTGTGTAGTTGGCTTGGGTGTAGGTCTTGGAGTTGTCTGTTGACACTGTGGATCTGTTGAACCAGGATAACATCTGGGTCTAGATGTGGTAGGTTGAGGGCATCGAGGATCTCTTGAACCTGGTACACAACGGAAAGGAGTTGTGGGTTGAATTGTTGGTCTGGGCGTAGGACGTGGAGTTGTTCTTGGACACTGAGGATCTGTTGAACCAGGATAACATCTGGGTCTTGATGTAGTTGGTTGAGGGCATCGAGGATCTCTTGAACCTGGTACACAACGGAAAGGAGGCGTGGGTTGAGTTGTTGGTCTGGGCGTAGGACGTGGAGTTGTTATTGGACACTGAGGATCTGTTGAACCGGGATAACATCTGGGTCTAGATGTAGTTGGTTGAGGACAGCGTGAATCTGTTGAACCAGGGCGACAGATGAATTGTGTAGTTGGAGCAGGCGTTGGTCGTGGAGTTGTAGGTTGAGGACAGCGAGGATCTCTGGATCCTGGGACACAAAAGAATTGGGTAAAGGTGGGTTTTGGGGTAGTTGGTGTCTGGCATCTTGGATCCTTTGAGCCTTGCCTGCAAGAGAACTGGGTGGTTGGTCTAACTGTAGGACGAGTTGTAGGTGTTGGACATCTTGGATCCCGAGCACCAGGATAACAGTTAGGAGGAGCTGTTGTTGGTTTTGGTGTAGGACGGGGTGTTGTTGGCTGTGGGCATCCTGGATTTCTTGAGCCAGGGAAACACACAGGTCTGGGTGTTGTGGGTTGAGGGCATCGAGGATCTCTTGAACCTGGTACACAACGGAAAGGAGTGGTGGGTCGAGGAGTTGTTGGTTTTGGCGTAGGACGCGGAGTAGTTTGTGGACACTGTGGATCTGTTGAACCAGGATAACATCTAGGTTTAGATGTAGTTGGCTGAGGACATCTTGGATCCCTAGAACCTGGCAAGCACTTAAACTGAGTAGTTGGCTTAGGTGTAGGTCTTGGAGTTGTTTGTCGACACTGTGGATCTGTTGAACCAGGATAACATCTGGGTCTAGATGTGGTAGGTTGAGGACATCTTGGATCTCTAGATCCTGGTACACAACGGAAAGGAGTGGTGGGTTGAGTTGTAGGTCTGGGCGTAGGACGTGGAGTTGTTCTTGGACACTGTGGATCTGTTGAACCAGGATAACATCTGGGTCTCAATGTGGTAGGTTGAGGACATCTCGGATCCCTAGAACCTGGACGGCAAGTGAATTGTGTAGTTGGAATAGTAATAGGTCGAGGGGTTGTAGGTTGAGGACAGCGAGGATCTCTGGATCCTGGGACACAGAAGAACTGAGTGAAACCTGGGTTTGGAGTTGTTGGCTGCTGGCATCTTGGGTCCTTTGAACCTATTCTACAAGTAAACTGAGTAGTTGGCCTAGTAGAAGGGCGTGGAGTTGTTGCCTTTGGACACCTAGGATCCCGAGCACCAGGATAACAGTTAGGAGGAGCTGTTGTTGGTTTTGGTGTAGGGCGAGTTATAGGTTGTGGACATCTTGGATCCCGAGCACCAGGATAACAGTTAGGAGGAGCTGTCGTTGGCTTTGGTGTAGGGCGGGGTGTTGTCAGTCCACGACACCTAGGGTCGCTCGAACCAAGATAACAGTCAGGAGGAGTTGATGGCTGAACACACCGAGGGTCCTTTGAACCAAATGTGCATGTGAATGGAGTTGTTGGTTTTGGTGTAGGGCGAGTTGTAGGTTGTGGACATCTTGGATCCCGAGCACCAGGATAACAGTTAGGAGGAGCTGTTGTTGGTTTTGGTGTAGGGCGAGTTGTTGGTTGTGGACATCTTGGATCCCGAGCACCAGGATAACAGTTAGGAGGAGCTGTTGTTGGTTTTGGTGTGGGACGGGGTGTTGTTGGCTGTGGACATCCTGGATTTCTTGAGCCAGGGAAACACACAGGTCTGGGTGTTGTGGGTTGGGGGCATCGAG